TGTTAAAATTTCAGGAAGATGGAGTGAAAAGTTAAGAAAATTAAAAACGAAATGCATTGAAAAATCATGTTTTGAGACAATTCCAAGTAGAATTGAACACAGATTTAACTAGACGAAATTAAGTCAGATTGAACAAACCCAAGACTGCCGTCTTTCCCTACCACCCACCGATAAGAAAGAAACTATTAAGGTATCCATGAAGACGTCAAATAAAATAAAAATATATGTTGTCGATAGAGAAATCCTGGTGGTCAGTGAAATAGCATTTATGATTCCCCTGGATCAGATAAAATAAAAACGTTTTGAATCAACCACCCAGAAGAAAAGAATACCCATCCATTTGTTATTATAATTTCGGTGTCATTCATCCGGAGAAAATTTTATATCCAACATTAATTCGGATTCCCGGGGATACAAGTGGTAAGAAAAAGAAATTAATTACTATTTTGAAGTGACTATGGACAAGAAAACTGTAGTCTATTCAATCATAAAACAAATGCATAAGACAGAGAAAAGATAAACTTCCGTTTTAAGGAGAGTGGAAATAGATTTTTCTTTCTCTCATTCTTGAGTAGTCTGGTTAATCGTAAGGGTCCCAGCATGATAGACAAGGACTAATGACTGAAATCCTTTTTGTCTTTGCTGTGCCATCAGGAAGTTGGATTTATCACTCCAGCAGAGGTTAGCTGTTGAGAAAGTTGGAGGAGGAAGAGAAGAGAGAAGGGCGAAAGAGATTAGCAGCGCCTATGTAGAGCAATGGTATGAGGTGAAGTGTAAAGAGAGTAGGAGTTAAGGGGTGGTTTGATTCCTCTGATCACTCTTAAAAGGGGGCTGGACAACCCCAAATTTAGAAAACTACTTGAGTAAATGTATTTTTACATATGGAGATTTAGAAAAGGTTGATAGTTTTGGTAGAAGACAACCGAACACAGACCCTAGTCAACTCCACCCCTGCCGGACACTTATCGCTGGAGATTTGGGACTCGGAGAAGAGTTGAGAGGAGATTGCTGGCACAAGAAGAGACACAGGGGGACACACTAGAATCTGCATCGTTTGCCAAGACCTCCTGACCAAACACTTGTGCCAGACATGAAGACAAAAACTTAGAAATTTAAGTTACTACTAAAACAAGCTGCCAACTCCAAAGGAGATCCCAGTGTCATTTGATTATAGCAAGAAATGGTAAGGGTTAAAACTGCTGTATACAACAAATCATATATAAACTAAATCGTTACATTTTTAACCAGAGTTAATTCTTTATTCCAAAGGATTCTTGATATTTTGTGTAGTTCTCAAATGGTTGAACTGTCTCCAAGTTTGTTTCATCAATGCTCTTCTCACTCTCTGAGATCAAAAGCACAACGTGGCCGGAGTGAATGGTCATGAACAGACAAATGTCAGCTAAATCAAGTAGAACCGTGCCACCAACACTATACCAGTGAAAAAACAAGTCACGCGCTAATAAGTGATTTGGTTTGGTTTGCTTTTACGGCATATCAACCTCAATAGGTTATTTAATGCCGGCAAAAACGCTAATAAGTGAAGAGTCAGCTAAATGGTAACCACGGTGGTCTTAAGGTACTTGAGGATAGACAACTGGGTGATATATTTGGTTACCACTGATCAGGGTCGACTTTGGAAATGTACCTAGCATTGCCAAAGCCCACATGAAAATAGAGTGACATTCTCAAATTATTCTGATGTCAACAAATACTTAGTAGCAATTAAACAATTCAGTTGTGATAAGAACACAGAATCAAGTTGTAACCACACTCAACGTGACGTTACAGACACCCAGCTCAGTAGATTAATATTAAAAAAATCAACAATTTCTTAAGCCAATCTTAAATTTTTTTTAATGTAGCTTAAAGTATATAATTCTATAGCATATTTTCATTTTTAAGGAAAATAAGTTTTCTTCTAAATACACTTAGATATAGCCTATTCTCAGTTGAATTTAAAGAAATTTAATCCCATAAAGAGACTGCATTACTCTGAAGTGGGAATAAAGTATTCAACTGAAAACTGATCTTAAATAAATATTCCATCCTGTATGTCTAAACCCGTGTTTTCCAAACTCATGGTTACAGAATAGTTTGAACAATAAAAAATAAATGGTTAAAAAAAAAAAAAGAAAAAAAAAAAAAATTGGTGCAAATGTATTTAAGTCACAATTTTGGCATATAAAGTGTCATTAAGACACTGGAACAGAAAAATAGTTGTGAATAATAAAACATCAATTTCAGACCCAAAACTATTCACATTCAATACTGATATGCAAAGACAGATGAAAATTGATGCAATCATAGTACATTTTCTTCTTTTTTTCTTCTGATGTGATGGTAAGCATGTGATTTATATGAAGTTGCAAATTTCATTTTCTTCAATAAATATAACTACCAACATTTATTGATTAGTAAATCAAAGTAAATTTAATAAAAATTATTAGCTAAAATGAAATGAGGAAACACTGAAATTATCTTTCCTCTCTAAGGACGCCCTGAACAAAAAGTATTCTATGTTCAAAGTCACGACCCACAAGATTTGGGAAACACTGGTCCAAACTATTATTTTAATTCATACTTATTAAATTTCTAAAACAAAATAGAATTTTCTAGAAGTGGTGATGATAGTCATTCTACCCTTTTCTGGACCTAAATTACATCTATATTCATTACAAGCATTTATTTTATAGCATTAAAATACTTTTAATGTAATACAAAAATCTAGATTAGACACAAGCTCTGAATTGGTAATACATATCTTTTGCTAGTCATGTTTGGAATAGTACATTGCATTGAGACATAAGATCAAATTTATTCATAATCAGAAAGTTATAAAAATCCAACTTGAAATATAGTTATTGGGATTCTAGTCATAGAGTGAAAAATTCATCAAAAATTTGAGAGGCTAGTGCACCAACCATGGCACAATCTTTTTTACTTTGTAGGCATTTAGTTCATCTTACTTTAGTTGCTTTTTACTGCTTCATACAGATCGTTGTTTTACAATCCATTTTAAACAACTCAGGTCAGAAATAAAGAATTGGCAAGATTTGAACTAGCATTTCTTTATTAGGGAAGCTTGTCTTTTCATGGCAGCTGTGTTATAAATGAAGCTACAAGAGCCAAGCAGTAAAATTCATCCAAACTTAAACATATACAGGGTGCGATGGATAAATTATCGTCTAAATTACGCAAAAAAAGAAAACAACACTGACATCTCATTTTAACAGATATATTTACCAAAATTATACAAAAATATCTTGAAACACTAAAGAGTAAATTTATTCAATAAAATCGACATTGGCTTCAACTATGGCTTCAGAATCTCCTGCAACTCCTCTGGACGGTCTCCTTGTTTAAGTTTGTGAATGTTGCCATAATCCTTACCTTCAATTCATCTTTAGTGTTACAAGGGCAGGTTGCAGCCTGGGAAGTTAGTTGGTCAGATGTAAGGGGTGATGTGGTTACAGAAATTGTCTGAGAGCCATGATTGTGTTCTCCTGATTGTGTGGCATAGTGCAAAGTCATGTTGTTAGATATAGAGCGTTCCAGCAGCCACCCTCTTGACCCATGGCATCACTACCTCTTGAAGGCACTTGATGTAGGCCTTCCTGTTGAATCTCAGGCCCTCACCAAGAAATTCAGTGTTCTTTTCTTATCAGAACAATGAGAATGAGTTTTCGAAGCTGCTGTACCTTCGTAATAATCATTACTCATCCAACTCTTCCCAAATCTTCAGATTGATACCTAAATACTCTGAAATGTTCATATTGGAGCTTCCAGCATGAATGCCAAGCATTCATAGTATAGCATGCCATTTCCCAATTTCTGGCAAAATGAATTGTGTCATGATGCTCTTTTTCTCAACTGCCCAACTGACCCTACTATACTGTGCAGTCGACAAAGTCATAAACAAACAACACACATGCATGAAATAAAAAAATATAAAATGGCGACAATTTACTAATTGCACACTGTAGTTAAACTGGAATACAAACAGTAAAAGATGGTAGTACACTTGATGGCTTCACTTTCTTCTGCTTGTAAAAATACTCAACAAGATAATGCATTTGTGATGCCATAGGTAAAGATCTATTGTGGCTGTGACAGCTATGGGATGTGAACACCGCTTGACCATGAAATGATTGTTGAGGCCAGTAAGAACGAGCCTTATATTTGGCAATTGTTCAAAATTTCACTTGAGCAACAGGTACACAAGGAATATGTAAATTCCTAAGAGACATCAGTGGAACATGAAAGAACTGTATGCCCCCACAGGTGATGCCAAAATGAAACTGCTGGCAACTCACAAGAATAATAATCACCAAATGAAAAGTCACATTTTGTCAAATCGCATCCCAATTTAATGCCGATACCACTGAAAGCACTGTATATATCCTGCATTTCATGAAGTTTTATAGTCATTAACCAGCAGGGGTATAATTATTGACATGACAGTGTCAGTTACTGCATTTCATGTGCCAGAATATTGACATTAGACTGTGGATGACTGGCAACATGTCACCAGGTCAGAGGAGTCAGGTTTCCTTTTTGTCTCACAGGCAAGTGGTCAAGTTGATCTATGTAGAAGACTCAATGGTGGCATGTATCTAGCTTTCCAGTAGATTGTTCTATCTGGTGGTGACTTTGTAATGGTGAAGTGTTTTTGAGTAGTGTTTGCAAAGACCACCAGTGAAAGTGTAATTTAGCTTGAAAGATGTATTCACAGATCTTATTGCAGGCCATTTGCTCCTCTTCTTTACTTGATATTTTTGCCTCCCAGTGGTGATGGTTTGTTCAAGCAAGATAATGAAACCTCTTCTTACATGAAAATGATACAAAACTTATTCCAGGAACACTCAGCTGACTTCTGGGTATTCTATTTACTCTTGTGTTAGTCCTTTGATCATGTATGGGACATGTTGCAAACCTTACTAAATTGCCTGTAGTCATACTTAAAATAAAACAACAGATAGTCCTGGAATATGACCTACACATGCAGTGGTTCCAGTTCCTGGTAGACACCATGCTATGAGCATTCATGCAAAGAGAATAGCAATACATTAGAGAGCTATATTTAATTTTTTGGCATTTCAGTTCATATTCTTTATTTCTACAAATGCCAATGTTGTCATCTTCTAGATTTACAACATACACAAGTCATGATAGATGTAATAGTATTCAAATTTCTTAAATGAAGCATTGTGAATTATTAGTTTTTGATTTGTATTTCTTTCCTATTTATGTTGCTTTTATTGTAATTTCCATATAACCCTACTATGATTGTTAGTTAACTAAGCAGTTTACATAAGAAAAAGAAGTCTTCAACAAGATTCAAACTTGAATCCTTATTCTTTGTGAAGCTTGTTTATCTATGACAGTGTCTTATTGATAGCCTAAGCTATCAGTAAGGCAACATTACAACATAGCTTAGGCTATGACAATCAACCAGTAGGCATCAGTTTAGTCATATATATATATATATATATATATATATATATATATATATATATATATATATATATATATATATATATTCTTCAATTCTTTTAATGCCAATAGTGCAGACTTGTATATTTATGTCAGGTCACTCAGTAAGTGCTACTGATGCCATTTAACACAGTACTGTCACATGGTTAGGTAATTAAACTAGTTCCCCCACCATACTTTTCTAGTAAGGAGGATGGTTAGACACTCAACAAAATTGAAAACAAGACCTATCAAAGGGCAAATAAACATTTATATAGGGTCAACAGCTATCTAGAAAAATGAGTTACGCATGCAGCCTGTGCAATGATGACACAGAATTACTGTGTAGAGGGCTTCCTAGAATGAAGCCAACAGCTAAGGCAGAAGGTTCTTTCAATAGAAGCAATGGCCACATGTCTGTGACCAAGGTGAGCCTTCAAATTGGAGGACATCGGCTGTGGTTTAAAATGGAGAGGGATAGGCTCCAACAGGTCTACTTACCTAAGAATGAATACCTCACTGGCTTTCAACAAAGATATATGGAAGCAACTGGTCAGGTACTCAGCTACCCAATGACCCTACAACCATGAGTCATGGGATTGATTATGATGACATATTTATATTTTACCCTAATAGCATTATGTGTAATAGTATTTGAATCTCATGTATGAGACATTGTTATTAATTTTTCTGATTGTTGCTACATATATAAGATCACAAAATGACAATCTGAATGTTGAAGAGCAACAGAATTCAAATGAAAAATATTAGTCAAAAATTCATAACTGACAATGTTCCATCTGAGAAAGTCAAATAATATTACAAATAATAAATATTGTTATTGTAAAATGAGACAAAGTTGTTAGAAATTTTGAAATTAATCATTATTGTATGGATTAACTGGACAAGCACCATTTTCTTTTATTTCTCTTTCCACTGGTGCATTCTCCAGATTTCTTGCAGTGAAGGGCAAATTCAATAATCTTTGAACAAAAGCAACAAAGATGAGGATATCAGTCTAAAAATAATTAATGAAATAAGGACTGTACTTCATATCAGAACTTAGGCTACTCATTTGAAGTACAATAAAACAATTTTTTTTTTTATGGTTTTAACATATAGATAAGATTTAAGCTTTACCTTACAATAATGAATCTATATAATATATTGTGTGTTAACATTCAACTGCAGTTTTATATGTTAATATCAGTTATTTTCTTATTTTGTCAGTGGAAGCATCTTAAAACATTGCTTAAAAGTTTCACTCTTTAAAAGAACTATACTATAACAAGCATCTCACAATTTGAGAAAATGTAGAATGCATTTAGCACACTTAAAATATTTGCGAAGATATTGGGTTAATAATTTTCATACCTGATAAGTAAATATCCATTTTTTTTTTTTTTTAAGCATTTCACTCCAAGCAAGACGGGAAGCCACTAGCACGCAAGGGGTTACAGAGAGTTGGAGCCAGAGCAAATAGGAGTGATAGAGGAAAGGATGGAGAGAAGGATAGGGGATAGATCAAGGCATTTGGAGATGTTAATTGACATTACATTTGAATAGTTGGAGATTATAGCTATCAGGGAAACAGGAAAAGGGGAGGGAGTTCCACAATCAAGAGGTGCGAGACATGAAGCTATTGGAGTAGAAGAGATGGCTATATTTAACAGTTTCGACAGTGAAAGGGTGTGAGCGAGATGCCAGCTTATTAGAACGCTTAAATTCATGAAGTCTGGGAACCAGCGAAAGCAGCTCATCGGAGCAGTTACCATGAAAGTATTTGTAAAAAAGACAGAAGGAGGAGATGACACATCTGTGAGAGAGCAACTGCAGATGAGATGCCAGATCAGGGCCAATTACATTGTATATATCTGTCTCTGGATCTTATCAAGAACCTTGAGACAAACCATATATGGCAGCAATACTTCATGCTAGGGCGAATGGTTGATTTCTAGATTTGAAGGATCGACTCCGGCGAGAAAAATTTCCTTGTGCAGCACAGGGAGCCAAATTTCCTTGTGGTGGATGAAGCAATTGACTCAATGTATTTGTTCCATCTCAGGTCAGCAATCAATGTGAGACCAAGCAGTCACAAAGAGGGGCTCTCGAGAAGTTGAGCATCAGACATTCTAATAGTGGGCAGGAATGGTTCTCTGTGATGAGTAATAGAGAGCAGTTTTGTTTTTGATGCGTTAAAGTTAACCAGCCAATTCCTGCTCCAGTTCACAACCGATTGGAGGTCCTTTTCGAGACGAACAGCCAAGTTAGCTTTGTCAACAACACTAGATTTGTTTTTGACGCAGGAGTAAATTGTAGTGTCGTCCACGTAAATGCCTACTTGTGAATCTATGACGTCAGGAAGATCATTGATGAAGATAAGGAACAGAAGAGGGCCTAGGATGGAGCCTTGGGGAACACCTGCGTTCATGGGATAGGAGCTGGAGGAGAATCCGTTGAGAACGCCCTTCAATACACAGTTTGACAGGAATGATTGTATTAAGTCAAACAATCGACCTGAAATTCCATAACCCTGAAGCTTGCGAAGAAGGCCAGCATGCCAAACCCTTCAAACGCTTTGGAGATATCTAGAGCCACAGCACAAGTTTCTCCGTTATTATAAAGGGCTTGGTAAACAATTTCAGTGATGGTCGTAAGCACATCAGCTGTAGAACAGGCAAAGCGGAAACCATATTGGTTGTCGGAGAGCAGATCATGGGATATAAGGTACTTAACCACTTCAGCACAGATTAAAGCTTTGAAGACTTTGCCAAAGAGGGGGTAGGTATATCAAATAAATTTGCTTTAATTTGTATGTTGCCTGATATTTATATACTATATTGAAAGGAAGTTACAAACACATTGTATCTGCTTAGGTTATTAAGAAAAAAAGAAAGGAAAAAACTCACTGTATATTTAAGATAATAAAGTAAAGGATTAAATCAGTTCTTTCATTTCTAATAGGAAATTCTTTGAAAAAAAAAAAAAAAATGCAATGTTCTCAATACAATCTAATTAGTTTCTCTGAAAAACCAAGCAATGTTATTGTTGGGGGTTTTTATTTCATAAAAATCAGTCACTTCATTTCTGAAAACTACACTGACTCACAACCAAACAATCTTGAAAATACATCTGGAGAAAAAAAATAAACTTAAAATTACCATCTTTTTCTTCAGATCAACATTAAATATTAATGTTGTATAACAGATGCTAAAGTTAAGTGTAAAAACTGTAATTTATTAAATAATGCCACAAGTTGATTTAGTCCTTCATTTTTAGATTCAAAACAATTCTGTAAATTATATAGGTGTTTAATAGCACTTAAATTCTAAAACAAGTTTTTTTAAATGCATTTCAGCTGGTCTTCAGTTATTCTTCTGTCAATACCTAATACTGCAGCCTGTTTAAATTGATATTTCTGATTACAAATAGCGAGTTTTAAAGATACATTTTCTTTTTGAATTGAAACTATTTTGTCTGAATGCACAATTACTAAACCAAGTGTTCATGCTAAAAGTTATAATCATTTAAAGTTTTGAAATTAAAAGTTATAATTTGGTAGATTATTTGCACTTGTGTACGTATTTTTGTTATTTAAATATTTCAGCTGGTTAATCTAATAACCTTCTTCAGCTAAAGTTTTCATTTGATAGACACAGTTATCAGATTGAATTAGATTTGAAAGTTTAGTGCTACCAAATTTTGAATTGACTTCCTTCCCATTAGTAGACTAAGTTGGTCAAGCATATCTTAAAATAAAACTTTTTTTTTCAGTTACAAATAGAGAAATTCAAAGTTTAATAATAATGGTCTTTGAAAAGTAGTCTAACAATTTTGCTGATAGCCTGATACTAAAGATAATTTAAACTGTATTCTTTAACTGGTAGTTACAAATATAAACAAATACCATAAAAAAGAAGGAAAACCTTTTGTAATAAATATCAATACTGTAATATCAGTTTAAAAGGTCTATAAGTTGAAATTTTCACCTGAAGAAGATTGGAGAATTAACCAGTTAATGAATTATACAAGTTTGCATAAGCAAATGATTTGATTTGAATCATTTCAAAATTTAGATTATACCTTTTGATGATAATCATTTTTTCTTTAATGGGGACTAAAGACTATTTCAACAGAAACAAAACAAATTCAACAGGTGTGGCATGTGTGAAAAAAACAAAAAAAAATACTTGAAATAATTGGAATCTTAGCCAGTCTGCAACTGAAACTACTCCAAAGTGTAGAACTGACACAAAGAAGTACTCATTGCAAAAATTATACTAACATATTGGTATCTACATGATTTAAGCATAACATTTACACTAGCAAACAATGATTATAAAATATTGTATTTTTTTTTTTCCAAATAAACCTATAATTTTTTTTCTCTTTGTTATTAAACAATAAAAACATTGACAATTTCTTATTTTGTATTATTATCAAAAGGATAAGCAAATAATTTAAAAAGTAGAATTGAACCTCTCTTAAATCAAGATGTTGTTAATTACTGGTATACCTTGACAAATGACCAGCTAGTGTTTAAAGGCCTAAAACTACTTTCCACTTATCCAAAGTGCATCTTAAGTATACAATGCACTATATATATATATATATATATATATATGCAGATGCACTTATATATATATATATATATATATATATATCTTTTTATACATGCTTTAAAAAACACACACACCAACTCATGTGTTTGTCATATTTGAAACATTTTTGAGTTATGAATATCTATCCATTAATGATGATGCTAGTCACATCTTCAAAAAAATTGCAAAAGCAATTGTACAGGACCTCCACCCACACAGCACTTAATTTTAAATTGTTAGCATTGATCCCCAAAGTCAGTTTAAGAACAGATTAGAAATCAGGTAACCAATTTGCTTTCACTCCATGTCAGTGCTGTTTATGACTTGAAATTGGTGGGATTAGAACTTTTTTTTTTTTTTTTGCTTAGTCAAAAATACAATAAACTAAATAGAAATCTAGAAGGGAAGTACAAACTTTATGAGACATATTTTATATATTTATAAATATAACAGTCAATTAAACATTGTTAAACACTTGTTCACTTTCCCAGGAATTAGTTTTGAACTGAGGTTCTATGACTGACCAAATGGCAAGTGAAGATGGATACCATAGCAATTAGTATCTGGCCCTATAGCTTTCTTATATACAAATTACTGGTGTGTATGTGTATACATATGGACAGTATATAACAGTAGAGTAAATTAAAAACAGGATAAGAAATAAAAAAAAAAAATTGAAGAAAAAATTGAAAACTTGGTTGTTTTGGAAATAGAATGTTTTTTTTTTTGTTTTACTTATTCATTGGATCCACTGAAACACTCCATTTTATTTTGCTGTCTGTTTTGCATGGGCAGTGATGGTGCTGCAGAGAGAGAGAGAAAAGTGGGGGGGGGAAATACTTTCACTCTGCAACACCCAACTTTCAACAAAAGCCCAGGACAAGAGTAACTTTTGATCCACCACTCCACCACTGTGGCATGATCTCCACACCCCCCATATAATAAGGAGACTTTATGCTGAAGAAGAATTAGTTCTTCCTGTGGTGTTAATCATTACCAGATGATGGCATCTCCTGACCCAATGCAACCAACTGAAAAACAGTAAATAAAAATAAAAATTTAAAATCCTACAAAAATTCAATTGTAATGTCATATCTATATTTTTATACAGTATAATAACCAAAAATTCACAGACACATACAGGTGCTAACCAAGAGTTCAGGAAATCTGGCCCTGGAAAAAGGTACTATATCTAGTTTCTTTCTACCATTTCCCTTGATATAATCTTTGTTTGCTGTTTGCAGCACGCCAGTTTTACAGAGAGTAATGGCAAACATCCAGATTCCATTTCCAGGTGCTGTTTAAATTGCCCCAACTTTGGATAGCATACACATGTGCATGTCTATGTGTTCAACTGAAATTTAATCTACTATACAACACAAAATATGGAGACATACTTGGTTATGACAGTCATGTAGAATTGAATGAGTTTATTTTAGTTTTTAAATCAAATACCCAATAGCCCTTCTGCCTACTTTCCTCTCACTAACTCTTGCACACTCAAGATTATAGATGATAGACTTTGCCCAAGGGTGAGCTGAAATAGTTCCAGATGGAGGCACATTGAACTCCCTGAGGTAATTGAAATACCAATATACCCAGTTAGTATTTTGTTGTCTCAAATGAAACTGTGAAACAAAGGGAAGTATATTATCCATTTTTCATACAAGCAGTAAGAAATAAACCTATCTACCCTGCTTCTTTATATATGAAGAGTAGATATGGTGGTAAAAAGAACAGAATTAAAAAAGCTTAGCTGCAAGAGAGGCAGATAGTTGGTTAAAAATAGTTGTAAATAAGAGTGGAAAATTTTTGTTCTGAGAGAAAGATAAAGAAATATATTAAGGAAAAATATTTTTAAAAGAACATTTTTAAATAGACTAAAAGATAGTTTCTTTTTTCTTTTTTTTAAAATTCCATGTCCCTTTCCACAAATTCTTTTCCTTTATTATCTGTGAATAGCATTAGGTTCTTGGACAAGATAGTGGAGTGGTTTCCTGTTGCCTTCTCCATAGTTTGGAATTCAGTCTTCTTCCTCTTAGAATGGCTTTCATCAAGACAAAAGAACCTATTTACAGTGAATATTACTGGCTAGCCCAGAATTTGAACTTTGCTCTCTTATTCAACTTTCCACAAAAATATCCATTACACTAACCACACATCCTAGTTTTCTTAGTTTGAGGTTAACAGGGGGTGTGAGGCAACACTTAACATGAACAAGAAAAATTTATATATATATATATATATATATATATATATATACACACACACAAAAAATTTCAGTGAAAAATAAATAATAAAATTATGAGAAAAGATAACAGCAAAACTACACAAGAAATTGTTGGCAAAATGCTGAGGTGCAGCTGCATATATTGGCAACCTGCAGAGCAGAATATAACAGCCATTTGATGCTGAGGCAAAAGGACAGAGATGAAGTTAGAGATTAAGGCCTTAATGGCTTAAAATATCCTCCTGTTGAACAAACTGATTTCAAACAGAAATGCCTTAAATAGAATTGAGGTCACCATACAATGGTCTTTCATATAAGTAATTAAATTAGAAAGAGAGATACAAATGAGCTATAGGACAAACAAATAGACAATGAACACAGAGAGAGAGAGAGAGTGAAGCCAAATTGTGTTTAGAGATAGACAGAAAAGGATAAATACAAACTGAGATAAATGGCTTTATCCAAATTGATCAAGATGAGAACAGTTGACATAATGCCTATTCTGGTTATAATCTTATTTAGTCAAATTAACTATTTATTTAAAAGCAATTCTAATTTGCTCAAATTTACATTATGAAGAAAATATCAAAAGTTCTATGTGAAGCTTTCCAAAAATAATGCCGCCTATTTATTTCTACAGAAATGTCAACAAATACAAAGTGCATAATAACATCTTTGGATGGAGCCAGTTTTCAGCTACAAAACTGGTTTCAATCACCACCAGTGACTAAACATTTTTGCTAGCAATGTACAAGAGCCTGCATAGCAGTCATAAAAATCTATACCAGCAGAGGCAAACCACTCCCCCCACTAACACACATATTCCTATTGCCACTGCTGAAATGCATTACCTACCATGCACTATTTGCTTTCTGTAACCATTTCAGCCAGCATTAAATGAATGTTAGTAGGTGCAATTTTTCCACATGGAGAAATACTATGACTCCTCTGATACATATATCATTTTGCCAGACTTAACTGCTAAATGTAACAAAATATAACAAAAAAAAAAAAAAAAAAAAAAAACTTATAGGTTATTGGTCTATTCCTCTACACCAACACCTACCAATATCCACCTCTGACATTGTGGGCTAATATAATAATATCGGAGAAGTTTTATTTTCAGATCAACCCTCATTTTTATAATGTCTCAGATATTTAAATACCACACTGTAGTTATCAATAAAACATTTAAAAATTAACATTTAAGAAATATCATCTGCAGATGCCATCTCTAATTTTAAGAAGAGTCTTTATCATTCAATGTTGTAACAACAATACAAAGAATGAGTTTAATAGTCTCATGTCTGGAAATCATCAGAAGGGTTACAAGTTTTAAATTAAAAACACAAATTCCTCATTTAATAAATATTGTGAAATATAAAAAACAAAAGAGCAATATATCAACACTTATAACTCCAACATGATTGTAACAAATTAGTGTGCAAAAGGGAAAAGAAAAATCATTTTTTAGACAGCAGTGTATGCTTATAAAATCAAAACATAAAGACAAAACAGAACTGATCATTTTGAAGGGTGTTAGTTTTTAAAATATTCTTTTTAAATTCATCTTTGACCCCAGTTAAATAAACTGGGTTGCAAATTAATAAGAAAATTTATTTAATCGAAAATAAATAAAATTGTAGAGTGAAATAAATGAATGTTCTTACTTGTTTAAGGAGTTGGTTGGCATTGACTAGATCTCCACAGCCATACACAATTCTTTTGGGGTTTGTACTGGATTTGAACTGGAAAAAAAAAAATTTAAGAAGTGAAAAGTGGAGAAGGAAAAGAGCAAGAGAATTTTTTTTTTTTATTGGAAGATAAAATTCTGGAGGTTATAACATTTAATTCATCATGGCTACTGACAGATCCATCTTTTATTAACACTTTTGTGTCTGGCATAAGAGATTTCCAGCTCACTTTAAGAATAGGACACAAATCCATGTATACAATTACTAATGCACTAAAGTGGATTTATAAACAAACTATAATCATGCTAATATTTTCATTACTACACAACTTTGATAAAATTGTGTTTTTTTTTGGGGGGGGGGTTATAACTATGTTTTCAGACAGACATTATTTGACTTGTCAAGTAAAAATATTCATTATAATAATAATAAAGGAGCAGCAATTTGGCACTTCCATCAACCATGCATTACTTCCCATTATTTTCATGTTCAAAAGTAGCAATGTTTATAATTTAAAAAAAAAAAATACTAGAAATTGAATTATAGCTGACAATGAGACACTAGTCAATTCAACTATGAACAAGGTACCAATAAAATCAGAAAAATGTACTAAGTCTACACATTAAATACAAATCTATAAATAATTTTGCTCACCCTCAACAACTTCAAATGATTAAAACATCTATTGGGTTTTTATATTATTTCTAACACAGATACAGCAGCAATTTATCATGGTGTGCTGTGACAACAAAATAGAAAAGACAATCATATCATTCCCTAAGATGTTATTTTTAACTACTTTTTACCATCAACTTAAAAAAATACCACAAAAGATCAACAGGTTCATGTAGCAAAGAAAGTTTATCATAATAGAAACAATTTATAATTTTTGTCTTACCTTAGCATAGTCCTGTAAGTTTTGGTATTCTATATAATTCCCACCTCCAATTACAAATACATATGCCTGGGGAAAAAAATGTCATGTATTTGTATTATATAGTCAAGATTGCAAATACACAAGTATAAAATATAATCAGTAATTAAACATACCAAGGAGTATATAAAAAGTTATTGTCAGTTTTTATAATCTTTGATGATAGTTCCATTTTAGCAGAAAAAAAAATGAAAACACCCAAGCTGAATGAAATGTGGTTTTGATCTGCAATATTCAAGAAACTTCATTTTTTTTTTTTTTTTTTTTTTTATATATTATAGTCTCTTTACATGAGGATGCTGAAAAGTTATCCACCTGATCAAGAATGAACTTTTAAAAAATTTTGATGTTTGGTCAGATTTTGAAAAAGAAATTTTAAATGGTCCCTTTTATTAGAGTAGTAGAAAAGTTCAACAAAACAAGTATTTTGCAATGAGTGGGCTTGACCAATTGCATTTTTGAATCCTTTATAAAAAGTATTCAAATTTCAAACATATCATATAACTGAATTAAAAAAAATTTAAGGTATTGGCCAGTTAGGAATTTGTTGACTTCAGTACTAAACCAGATTTGGTAGCCTCGACAGTAAAGCTAAACATCTATGTGAGAGCTTGATGTGTGGTATTATTGTTATAGGGACCACCACTATTGTCACGTTTTGGTATTATTGTTATACAGGCCATTACAGTGCAATATGTACTGATGCAGAGTAGAAGACTGTAATAGCAATAACCAACACAGTGTAGGATCCTAAGAAAATCACCATACCAAGAAACTGACCAAGACATCCAAAGAGCATCAGTCAAACTAAAAGCACAGAAGTAGCAAAAGAATCTTGTTGCAATTTACCAATCTTAAAAGTCTCTGCCTCAGAGAGAGAGAGAGAGAGAGATAAGAGTTCAGTCATCAAATTAAAGCACTTTAATCTAAATAGACCAACAGTTCAATTACTTTTTTTGTGACTCATTTTGACATCATTTAACATAAATATACAATTAAAGAGAAAAAATGTTTATTTTATGATGCAAGATAATGTTACACTAAAATAAAAATATTGAAAAAAATAATGAAGACAATGTCAATCACTGGAAGCATAAAATAGGGTAAAGAAATATTTATGCAAATAAATTCAGGAAAGTTCATCTGGTCAACTTGGATTAAAAAATAGCAGAAAATATACTTACTTCTTGGAATGGTGACTTATTTCTTGTCACAGATGATCTGAAAAATGTAAATGAAAATTACAAAAATACCAGCTTCATAAACAATCTCCAAATTCTTAATAATTTTTAAGGTGGGTGGCTCAAAGGTAAAACCGCCGAGAGAGGCTTACCATGCAGTCACCCAGAAGAAATATTTGTAAAAATTCAAATCTCTTAGTATATTTCAGTTTAACTAATTTATTTCTTGTTTATTTATTATTTCACCCCAAGCAAGGTGATAAAGTCACTAAGACACAAAGTGTTACTGAGTATGAAAGAATCTGAGAAAAAACATTTAGGAGAGAGGACAATAAAAGAACAGGAATTATGGAGATAGAAGAGAACAACTGACATTGCATTTAAATTATTGAAGAACAAATTTGACTAGAAGGCAAGATGCTGGAAAAGAGTTCTACAAGTATGGAATGCAAGAGAAGGAGAGTTTCTAAAGCAAAAAGTGTGAGAGAAGTGGCCACATTGGTTTCCATTCAAAAAACTTAGACATGTTATACTCAGTTCAGTCTTTCACATACACATTTCAACTTTAAAACAAGAGCACTTAAATAAAAAAACTAAAAGAAAAACATTAATTTTAAGCCATTAGGTAAGTGAGAAAGTTGTTTTTTTCTTTGACAGAGCTATGAGTGGCTTTCTATTATTACCATTCCTCATATTAAACATCTTAACAAGAGGGGAAAATATTCTTAAAACAAGAAAAACAAATTAACTCAATCCCTAAAAACTAATACATTAATGCTTTATTTAATATAAGAAATATTAATTAGGAATAGAAGTTAAAATAAGTCTAAGAACTTGATTGTGCCACATGCAGACACCATTCCATCATAAACCAACCAAAATAAGTTGGTTATTCCACAATAAATATGCCTCAGTAGGTTACTACTTAGGGAAGGGCAGATCATAGAAGACGACATCCTACACCACATTGCAAAAATGAGCAAATAACATATTATGTGAAAATTCTACTCTTGATAAAACATTGCTATTTGGCAGGAGTGCCATAAATGTAAGTGAAGTTTCAACAACCCAGATTATTATTTTATATATATATATATATATATATATATACACACACACACAAATGTTTGGGATTTTTATGTCTATATACCATTATACACTTATCTAAGTAGAGTTTTCAACAGGATCTAAAAGTATCTAGTTAAGGAACAGGTCCAAAACTAACAAAATAATATATTTCATCTGTTTATTTTATTCTCCCTCTTAAGCTTATTAACTTTGAGAGAAGTCCATTAAGAAAAGCAGAGAAGCACCAAAGATAATCATTGCATCTTTTCACTAAATGGTCTAAAGTCTCATACAGACATCTGTTATTATTATAGGTGCAATAACAAACAGAAACAGGAATTTGTACACACATTGTCACTAAATTATGACAAACAAAAATCTAATGTACTTTTTGGCATATCAAAACTGGTATGAGTCATGTGTATATATATATATATATATATATATATATATATATATATATATATACATATAAAAAAAAATCACACACAAAAAAAAATCAAAAATTAAAACTTTGTGATAATTTGTCATATACTCTTCCATATCGTATTGACACTTCCTGGTATTCAGTGCAGGATTACTAGTATCATGGCTGACAAGATGGTAGTTATATATTTTACCACTTTCTGTCAAAGTTTAACTTTCTTACTGAAAGGCTATAAAAAATGTTCTTTGCTGAATAAAACCTAAGAAATAAATCTGGGTTGTACTACAGTTTATTCAACACTTGCAAGATGTCTTCAAGCACAATCAAATTGCTGCTGTAAATAGAGTATTAGAACCTGGATATATGTGTGTGTGGCCTCTGAATGAGGGATTGGTATAGAAAGTACTATGATCCCTTTGACATTTATTTTAATGGAAGTAATAGCAGTATGTCAAATTATGGAGATAGCTGACATCATAGTTTTAAAAAAAATTGGAGACTGAAATGCAGCAGCTGTTCCAGGCTTTGCTGAATAGTGGTTTGGAATAAGAAATTGTAAAACAAAGTTAATTCCAGTCAACTTCATTACATTCACTTATGTACAAATACCCTTGGTAAAGAGATGGATCCATCTTCCCTTCAGCTATGGGTTAAATAAGACTTATTTTAAATAATCATTGTTATTCTCAAAAAATTATCTGTGCATTATTCACTTGCAAAAATCAAATTATTCTTACAATCCAAAATATGTTTCAGCTTTTAATAACCCACAAAGGGTTGATAAACCATAAAGAAACATCATTTAATTCAGGACTTTGTTCTGTTTGCCACATCTGTTACATGTACCTTCCTCCTCTAGACAGTTCTGATGAAGGTGTTTTTTATTTCTACAAAATAAACATATCTGTCTCTTAGAAATAGCAGCCAATGTTTGGTTTTCAGACCATTTCTCACAACTAGTAAATGTTTCTATATTGTTACTGGGAAGACCTACTTCTATACTGAAGGCAGTTTGTAATGCAAATTATGATTTTGAACTCATTTGAGTTTGATCAAGCAAGAACTCAAACAAAGTCAATCACAGAATCAAGTGTTTTGTTCTCAAGTAGCTATTGATGGAGAGTATTAGACCACCTATAAAATCACTGTATATTGATTCTTCATATATTTCAATGCTAACAGCCCTATAAGTCTTCAGATACTCATCCAATGTCTCCACTCACTGTTGTCAATGGATGGCAAATAAACTAATTTATATACACCTCATTTTTAAGTTACACATACCAGTTCTGCATCATAAATTTCCTAAATCCAAATTTATTCCTATACAGAAAGGTCAATAAAGTTAATAACTCCATTCAGTTTATATGGAGATGGTTGCCCAATAGCTTGAAGAAAATTGTTGAATACAGTAAACAAATACTTCCACTTCTTAACAGCAAAACCTGAAATAGGGCTGGTTATGAACCTCTCAGGTCATGGGAACTTATCTACAGTCCACTTGTTCAAAATTAGTTTGATTTCTTTCTTGAATAAATTTTAGAACTCTAGTGAATATAGAACTGAAGAAACTGGGATGTGTGGCTGTCTGTGCTGTGTGATTCTTAAAATGAAGCAACATTAAAGTATCTACATAAATTTTGGTAGGAAGAAACTTCCACTGTGTGGATTGGCTACATTTTGTTCCCCACTCTGACAACTTTATGCTAATCTTTCCAATTATTGTAGTTCAGTAGCTACTAAGTTAACAAAATATACTTCTTAAGATAAACACTTCATTGCAACTGAAGTTAAGAGGCTCTTGCAAAAGGGATAATTGAACCAAGCACTCCCTCTTGGCAAGCACAAGTTGCAGTGACCATAAATGAAAGAAAAAGAATGGTAATCAATTACTTTCAAACTGTGAACCACTTCATACTGTTAGATGATCACTCCTTACTAAATACTGACAAACACTGTGGCACACTATCAATTCTTTACTTCAATGTACTTGAAATCAGTCTATCATCAAGTCCCAGTATTTGATGAAGACAAGCTTTACATTGTTTTCAATGCCCCTGGTCAGATATACCAATTACGCCATATTCTATTTGGAGTAACAAATAGAGTTGCATGCTTTCAGTACATTATCAACAAATTCATTGTCAACAGCTCTTTCTGAATTGCTTGCTTAACTGTGAGAAAAGTAAAGATAACATTATATTTGGAGTTTTACTGAAGCTGCTGAGAGGTTTAACATAATCTACAATCATAAGTACACATTCTCTGCAACTTCCATGGAATTCCTGAGTTTTCTGAGGAAAAAATGAAACCTGACCCCAAGAAAGACTGACCATGAAAAGATCTTTCTCAAGATAAGAATTCACTATGTTGTGCTATAAATAAGTTCTCACACTATTCCTATTGGATTGTCAATTGTTCTGCTCACATTTCCAACAAGCCAAAATAGCTAAAAAGACATTCAAATTAGTGATGAGATGATACCAACATTTTTAGTGATTCCAATACAATTCCCAAAACTGTTCTAAATCTGATTCCAATATGTACAATGATTAAAATTCATTATTTTCATGCTCTATAGTTGGTTTGGGAAAACTAAATGAGTAAAGTACATTAATTAATAAACATTTAGTAGAAAAATCAATACAAAAGCTTATGAAATAAAGTTAAATATTCATTTTATTTAAAAAATTAGATAAGAGTTTAAACAAAGAGAATAATTTCTTTACGTAAATCACTTAATTTAGCTACAGTTGACATTGCTTTATTTTGGTTTTCATCAGAAATCTTAAAAAAAACTTCCAAACTACACTTTTCTGCTTGGCATTGGATACATTTGCCATAATTGGGGTCTGAAAATAATGACAATATTGGTTAAAATTTAAATTTTTCACTGATAAAAATGTTTCTTGATTTCTAATGCATATAATTTGTAAAAGATTCAACTAATAATGGTTTGCTATTAATTGTAAAATAAAAAAGGTCTATTTTTTGTCCACCTTTTTAAGTTTTAACAAGCAAAGGCACCCTCTAAATATTATGCAATCTCCTTAAAATTTTATATGTGGCATTTTTCAATGAATGGAACAATTTTAGGGATGACAATTTCAGCATGCACTTCAAAAAATAAGAGACACGCAAATATTATATATATATATATATATATATATATATATATATATATATATATATATATATATATATACAAATAATATTCTAAGCAGAAAGGCATCATCTTATGTATTGTGGTTTAACTTGTGCATATATTTTGATAAAGTACAAGGAGTACCTAATCCTGCTCGACAGCAAATAAAAAATAAATGAAAATTTTTTATATCCGTCTATATTTCTGAGATGAGGTATTATGTACACTATTTACATTGTTTGGACTATCATTGACATTCCAACCACCTGAAGAAGGGCGGAGTGTACAACAGCCAAAATGTTGTGATAAATATAGCAACAAAGATGAGGATGATAGTCCAATGTAAATGGTGCAAATTTTTAAATTTAAAGATGTTTAATAAGAATCAAATATGAATTAT